TGCGTGTGTGTGTGTGTGAGTGAGTGAGATGAGGCCTGAACTCAAGGCTTAGAGGCTGCTGAGATTTTGTGCTCACGTCTAGAGCCACACAGCCCCACTTCTGGTTTTTTTGGGGAGGAGGGTGGTGGTTCATTGAAGATAAAAGTCTCACAGACTCTTCCACTCCAGCTGGCTTCAAACCACCATCTTTGATCTCAGCCTGTCCTGAGTAGCTAGGATGACAGGTGTGAACCACCAGCACCCAGCTCGTGAGGGTCAATGTAATCAAGCCATGCGGAAAGACCTAGAATCAGAATGTCAACACTCATAGCTAGAAATGGTGGCAGGAGGCTCACACTCTTGGTTGCTTTCAGCTTGACTTGTCAGAGATCACAATGGAAAAAAAAAATCTCAAGCCAGGGCTCCATCTGGAATTGGGTACTGGGGTGATGGGCAGGGCAGAGGCCAGGTCATGACTGAATGAACATCAGAGTTGCCTCCACCAAGGGCAGGAGTGGGAGTGAGATGTGGATTGAGACACACTAGCATCCATTCCAAGATCTTGAACAAAGAGGCATGGCCTGGCAAACTAAAGACCAAAGACAATGGCAAGAAGGCATTGCCGAAGGCGCTTTACCAGATGTCTTCATCTTTTGAGGGAGGAAAGTTGCAGGAAGGAATATTATTGAGTGTATGGGAGGGGTGTGTGTGTGTGTGTGTGTGTGTGTGTGTGTGTGTGTGTGTGTGTGTGTGTGTGTTGCTAGGATTGAACCTGGGGCCTTGTACTTGGTAGGCAAGTGATCTACCACTAAGCTACATTCCCAGAACAAAAATGGCGGGGGTGGGGAGAATACCATCGTTACTTACGCTGAAAGTAAATGTCAAGTAACACACATTCTGGCACATACATATGTAAATATAGCTAGTTATTGGGTCTGTACAAGGCCCTCAGTTTTGAAACTGTGCGGTAGAGCGCTCAACTTGAGCTGAAGAACTGAGGGACAGCACCCAGGCCCAGAGTTCAAGACCCACAACTGACCAAAAAAAAAAAGGTAGAAGTGGAGCTGTGGCTTGAGTGGTAGAGTAATGCTAGGCTTGAGTGAAAAAGCTAAGGGATAGTGTCCAGGATTCCCCCCCCCCACACACACACATACACACATACACAGCTCACAATGAACTCTTGGGCATGTGGGTCTGGACTGCAGTTTCTCACAAAGATAATGGAGAGGGAGACGGATTGTCTTGAAACTTCTCACTAGTCAATCTGTCCCTTATGAAATATTGAGGTAGGAGTGGGAGACAGCTCAGGAAGAAAGTCTGGTTAGTAAGACTTTGAAATTAAAGAAGCTTTGGTTTTGTTTTTTAAATAATTTATTGTTTTCAAGACACATAGTATAGAATTTACACTTGTCATGGATTTTCTAGCCGAGACTCTGGTTAATTGATAATGATCTGGTGACTGGGTAGAATTTCTTGGGTGGAAATGAATGCGGGACACATCATATATTTAATGCTTTTGCCTCAGTTCCTGTATTGGTTTTCTGCAAACACTGTAGGTATCCTGTATTCCACGCATGTGTGTGTGTGAGTGTGTATGTGTGTGTGTGTGTATGTGTGTGTGCCAGTCCTGGGGCTTGAACTCAGGGCCTGGGCACTGTCCTTGAGCTTTTTTCCCTCAAGCCTAGTGCTCTGCCACTTGAGCCACAGCACCACTTCCAGTTTTCTGGTGGTTCATTGGAGATAAGAGTCTCATGGACTTTCCTGCCCAGGCTGGCATTGAACCGTGATCCTCAGATCTCAGCCTCCTGAGTAGTTAGGATGACAGGCGTCAGCCACCAATACCTACTGTATTCCACTTAAATAATAATAATATTACATTTCTCAAGTCGGAGATATTTCTCAAATGTATCTGGGCCTCTTGGAGTTTTATTTTCTAACTGGGGGCCTTCGTAAGAAATCACTCGGCCCCAACTTCCATGGTTCACTCGCTCTGTAGTATCCAAGGCGAAGTTCCCAGTGCGACAGTCACTTCCCAACACTGAGTGACAATCTGCCTTCAGGCGATTTTCACCTGCTGCCTCCCGCATCTCTACGTAGACAGTACGGAACAGGTCCAGTCTCTTTCCCTTAAAGAAGTTCAAATGAAGAACTCATGGCCTTGTGGCCTAGGCTTTTAAACGTCCTCTGAGCTAAAATCAGTGGTGGGCTGGTAAGCTGAGTCTAAACATCAACAATGCTTGATTTGTACTATTTAGATATGGACTTGCTGATACTGGTGCGTGTGTGCTCTGTGTGTGTGTGAGAATGCTCTGTGTATGTGTGTGTGTATGTGTGTGTGTGTGTGTGTGTGTGTGTGTGTGTGTGTGTGTGAGAGAGAGAGAGAGAGAGAGAGAGAGAGAGAGATTGGGGCTTAACTCAGGACCTCTTGCTCTTACTTGACTTTTTTTGCTTGAGCACTTAGCCACACCTCCACTTTTGGCTTTTTTTGGCTAGTTAACTGGAGACAATGGGTCTCACAGACTTTCCTACCCAGGCTGGCTTCAAATCACGATCCTCTGAACTCAGCCTCCTTAGTAGTTAGGATACAGGTATGAGCCACCAGTGCCTTGGCTGACATTTTGTTTTGAGAAAAAAGACTTCTGTAAAGCCACTATGAGTAGATTTAGCAAGAGGAGGTGAATCATGGAGGGACAAAGGAGAGAATGGAGTAAATATGACTCCCAGGTGATGTGGTATTGCTGCTAATCAAGTTATAAAGGGGTTGGGAAGGTGGCTCAGTGGTAGAATGCTTGCTTGGCATGCATGAGGCCCTGGGTTCGATTCCTCAGCACCCCATAAGCAGAAAAAGCCAGCAGTGGCGCTGTGGCTCAAGTGGTAGAGCGCTCACCTTGAGCTGAAGAGCTAAGGGACAGTGCCAGGGGCCCTGAGTTCAGGCGCCATGACCAACAACAAACAACAACAAAAAGACATAAAGAGTAGGTTCAGGGAGGAAAGGTAACTTAAGTACACATGAATTAAACAAATATTTGTGGTGCGCCACCTGACAGCTGGCCTAGGCTCTCCGAGGTATGGGGGAATAGATAAGGCCTTGCTTTTTATAGAACTGATCATGTTATCTTATCAGAAATGGCCCCTTGAATGCAACCTGCAGGAATTGCTTTGAAGCCTGATTTTCTGCTTAGTCACTCCCTCCACTCCATTCCCAGTTTCAAGTCACTGGGACATGGGATAAGGTAGTACACCCTTAGGAACATTTGTCCAGCTGGAGTTTGCATAAGGGCACTATTTCCTGTTACAGAAAGCCTTTGCAGAATGTCCCGCCTTCCTTCCTCCCTTCCAAATCCGGGTAACTCTTGTTCCCACAGCAACCAGAGTAATAAGAAGCAGAAAAATTAGCCATCTGCAGCTTAGCTTTGATGTCAGGGAATGAAGTCTGGATTTTAAAATGTGCATTTAAGCCGGTCAAGTCAATTTAAGTTCAGATATTCCTTCCTGATACATTAGAACAAAGATCTATATCTATATATGTATATATCCCTATATATACATATTATGTATTTTTTTAAAGAGCACTCCTTCTATCCACCTGCAGGAATTTTATTCCAATTAAATAGAAACACACACACTCTTCTCAGAAGTTGTTATTTACATTCGGCCCACTGCTAGAGCAAGATTACAAGTGGCCCCAATGATGACAAACATCGTACACAGGAAAGAGAACCCCAGGAAGCGACCTTATCATTCAGTCCGTGTCTTGTGTCGGTCAGTCTTCTGGTGACTAACCAGGAGAGAGGGAATGGGTTTTGCGCTAGATTCAGGCATCCACTGGAAACTGTCTCAGCGTTATCCGTAATTGGAAATAATAGCCCGGTTTCTCTAGATGGGTTCACCTGGCTGGGTAGCAAGATCTGCCGTGTTATCGGAACACTGAGTTCTTCTTACACAGTGAGCAGTTTCAGCAGACCTGTGAGTTTTGATTAGGGGTTTCTGAATTCACCAGAATCAAAGCCTTTTTTGTTCTCTGAACAGATCTCACACCCTCCACCCTCAACATTCCCACAGGTTGGCGGTGGCGGTGGTGGTGGTGGTATGTGGCATGATGTCCTCTCTTGAATGGATTCTTTAGAATCCAGAATATCTCCTGGCATTGGAACTTCAAGAGATGCCTCGTCCACCTCTTTCCACTAGTTTAATCCTTCCTTTCAGATTTCATCTATTTACGGCGATGCCTGTGTTTCAAGAGCTGCTGTGTGTAAGTCTGACACACAGCAAAGCTCTCTGGGAAACTCCATTTTGGGTTCCTCCAAAGGTACACACAAAGGACACCACTGAAAGGCGCTCTCTCTCTCTCTCTCTCTCTCTCTCTCTCTTTCTCTCTCCCCCTCCTTCCTCCCTCCCTCCATCTCTCTCTCTCCCTTCAAGTTCTGCTTACCTGGAATGTGCCAACACAAATGTCAAACCCGAGAACCAGGTTCCCAGGGCAGAAAACTCCTGTGTATCTTACCTGTTTGCTTTTCCTTCAGACAAGGCAAGGGCTGATAGGTTGACCCTTTTGCTATTGAGCTTAGGCTTACAAGAGTTCACTGTGGTCTCTCATCTAACCTTGTGGGTGTTGCCTGAAATCTGCTCCTCTTCAACCTCTACCAGCCTAGCCTCATCTCAATCTCATTCAAGCAACTCCACCCTCTCCCCCCCCCCAGGCCTTAAACAATAGAATCCTGTGTGACCAATCACCTAGCTCACAGCAGGAACCATGAACTTTGCCCCGATGTCTTAGCCTTGATTCTACCTGGGTACTGATAACTGTTTTTTATATTAACAGTGACCACGAAAACCCAGGCTGAGGTTTATGACAGGTAGAGGCAGGGGCTAAAGAGAGAGGAATCGCTTATAATTTGAGGGGTGAGGAGGTCCCTGAAATATATGATCGTCACCCCCACCACCACCACCACTAAACCCATCTCCTTCTAAGCTGAGGATCGGGGCCAAAGTATGTACTCAACCCCTTCGGTCTTCAGTACCTTGGTGGTTGCTTGTGGTCATACACTCTGTGGACCAGTCTTGGGGAATCACAGGCGCGAGCAGCTCTACAACCTTCTCCAGGGGACAGCTGTGGGTGCAGCCGGGCAGCGTGAGGGGGTAGGGCTCACGGTGCGTCTCATTCCGGTAATACATCTCCACGAAGTACTCTCTGCCAAGGGGGAGGCGGAGGAGAGGGGAGCTTGTGAGTGTTGTGGTATCAGACTCCTACCTGGGCTGTGTCACGTGTCCATGGGAGGAGCGGTGGGATCAAAGAGAGATTGTGGACAATTTAGCTGGGAGATTTAGGGAGACTGAGGCAGAATAGAGCTGGTGGGGGAGATTTGTGAGGGACATTGCAGGTGGGGACAGAGGCCCTTGATCAGAGAAGAAACTGAAATAAGATGGTTAGTAAGACTGGTTGGATGTGACTTTGATGAGTCTAAAAAACAAAAAAGCATATGAGGCTGGGCGCTGGTGGCTCACGCCTGTCATCCTAGCTACTCAGGAGGCTGAGATCTGAGGATTGCAGTTCAACGCCAGCCTGAGCAGGAAGGTCCATGAGACTCTTATCTCCATAAACCACCAGAAAAGAAGAAGTGGTGCTGTGGCTCAAGTGGTAGAGCACTTGCCTTGAGCTAGGGACAGTGCCCACGCCCAGAGTTCAAGCCCCACAACCAACAAAAAAAAACTCATGTTAATTGTAGAAGAGTATTCCCCATGACATATATAGTATCTCCTGATCAAACTCACCACCTCTATCATTCTCTCTCTCTTTTTTTTTTTTTTTTTTGGGTCCGGTCATGGGGCCTGAAGTCTGGGCCTGGGCGCTGTCCCTCAGCTCTTCAGCTCAAGGCTAGCGCTCTACCACTTGAGTCACAGCGCCACTTCCGGCTTTTTTCTTTTTGCTTATGTGGTGCTGAGGAATCGAACCCAGGGCCTCAGGCATGCAAGGCAAGCGCTCCACCACTGAGCCACCTTCCAAGCCCCTCTCTCTATTTTTTTTTTTTTCGATGGTGGGGCCTGAACTCTGGGCCTGGGCTCTGTCCCCCAACTCTTCAACTGTAGACCAGTACTCTACCACTTGAGCCTCAGCCCCACTTCTGGCTTTTTTTTTTTTTTTTTTGCTTATGTGGTGCTGAGGAATCGAACCAAGGGCCTCAGGCATGCAAGGCAAGCACTCTATGGCTGAGCCATCTTCCCAGCCCCACCTCTATCATTCTCATTCAGCCCTTCTCCCCCTCTAAAACAATTTCAACAGCTTGCATCGTTTTCATATATGAAAATAAAAATAGCACAATTTTCATATTTAATACACATCAATTTGCATATTCAGTACAGTAATACATATTATTAAGCATATGTAAATAAACACCTATGGCCATAGGTATCCTTCTTCACTCTTTCCATTTGCCTTCCTCCTTCCCTCCGATACCCATTCCCCACCACAAAGTCTGCTTTACTTTCTGCCATTAACATTTTTTTCTTTTAGTTTGTAATAATTGTACTAAGGCCTCTTAGTATAATTAGAAGTGCATATGTTATAGATTAACTCAAATAAACCTATTGCTTCCTTTTCCTCTTATCTCCCTGTTGAGCCACGATGTTCTTTGAGATTCCTTATACACTTCTTCATACCTGCTTGCAATGCCTTAGACAATATTTCCTCTCCATCATTACCAAAATGGAACCAAGAGGCTATGAACCACTTGGACAGACCCATAAAAGCAATGACTGAAGCAGTAATTATGTCCCAAACAAACAAACAAACAAAACCCCAGGACTGAATGGATTTGTTGCTAAACTCTTATCAGTCTTTTGAAGAAAAAAAAATATAAGTATCTCCCAGATTCTTTCATGAAATAAAAAGGGAAGGAATGCTACCAAACTCATCCTATAAAGTCCATATTATAATTGTTCCAAGAATCAGGCAGAGACAGAGAACATGAAAGAATGTTGGATGTCAACATTGGTGGGGGTATATCACGAGACACTTGCATGCACTATTGCTCGTTCCTGATGTGTTCACACCTAGAGACTACCATGTTCTGGGAGCCACTTAGTTGGGAGTAAATTGGGGCACTAGACAACTTTTGACTTTTTTTTTTGTCGATGGTGGGGCTTGAACTCCGGGCCTAGGTGCTGTCCCTCAGCTCTTCAGCTCAAGGCGAGCACTCTACCACTTGAGCCACAGTGCCAGTTCTAGTTTTCTGGTGGTTTATCTCTGACTTTCCTTGCCCAGGCTGGCTTTGAACAACGATCCTCAGATCTCAGCCTCTTGAGTAGCTAGGATGACAGCCGTGAGCCACCGGTGCCCGGCATCATTTTATTTTTTTTTAATGTTTTTTTTTTTTTTTTTTAAATCACTGAGAATGCTTTCTTCACACCTTTTCCTCTATAGTGCCTGAATGAGGTGACTTACACATCCAAAAGCCCCATAAAGGACTTCAATGAAGACAAAGAAGAAAGGGGCAAAGATCCTGTTACTGTCCTTCTTCCTTCTGAGTATTAAACTGAAGACAGACGGACAGACAGACAGACAGACAGACAGACAGACAGACAGACAGATGCAAAAACCCCTGAAGCCAACCAGCATGCTCTGGTGAGCTGCTTACCCCTTCTCCTGGTACAATTCCATCAAGTGGCAGGCAGCATAGGGAGGAAGGATGCCGTTGTAGACATCTAGTGCCATCTGTAGGCCACTGACAGTAGTGTCATGCTATGGGGATTCCAAAGGGAAATCATGTGTCAAAGGTCACCTCTGGCTCATACTGGATGCAGTACACCCCCTCTCCCCCAGACCTTCAAGTAAATTCCCAGTGGCTTAATATGTAAGGGAGTGTAGTGAGCAACACTACTGTGTGCTATACAGATCTGTATATGGATTATTTCCAGGTGATGAAGTTACAGGACCCAGTTAACTGAATGTCATTTAATCCTACATAGAATGAACTTGAATCGAGTCTTCTGAATTTAACTCTCCTGCCTTATCTCAGTAAGGTGAATCTCTGTCTTTGCTAATTTTTATTGTTTTTCATTAAAGTTTTAAGGTGATTTGGAATATATTAGTGCTAAATTATATTTTTCTGAAGATTAAGGTCATTTAAAAAATTTTTGGTGGGAGGAGGGAAGTGCAGTATTGAGGTTTGAACTCAGGGATTTGTGTTAGTACTCCACCATTGAAACCACACATCTCCTCCCCCCCAACTCCGGCCTCTTTTTGCTTTTAGTTTAGTTTTCAGGTACTGTCTCTGCTTTTTGGCCTACGTCCAGTTTTGGACATAGCCCTCCTTATCTTCAACTGCTGTATAGCTGGGATTACAGAGGTATGCTGCCACGCTCAGCTTAGGTTTTAAAGTCCTGTAAGAGCGTAGGAGGGCCGTACATGTTTAGGGAAGTTTAGATAGAAGGAAGTAAAGAGTGTAGCGTAATTCATATAAATAAAGTGTTTGCCTGACAGTGGACAGAAGCCAGGGGGTGGGGGGTTGGTTTTCAGTTCCTCTTTGGACACAAGTGAGCTATCTAATTGTAGGTAAGACTCATCGCCCACGTCTTATATAAAATAGGGCCAACATTTGGCTGCCTAAACCATGTGGCAATGTACATATAGTGCAAAAGAACATGAGCCAATCTGAGAAGAAAAGGGACAAAGTAGAAGCTGGGTGTTGACAGCTCACACCTGTCATCCTGGCAACTCAGGAGGCTGAGATCTGAGGATCATGGTTCAAAGCCAGCCCAGTCAGGAAAAGTCCATGAGACTCTCATCTCCATTTAACCACCAAAATAAATAAATAAACAGAAGCTGCAAGTGGCACTGTGGGTCAAGTGGTAGAGTGCTAGCCTTGAGCACAAAAGCTCCAGGACAGCACCCAGGCCCTGAGGTTCAAAACCCAAGACCAGCACACACACACAGACACACACATGCACACACACACAGACACACACACACAGACACACACACACACACACACACACACTGAATCGATGGGGTGTTGCCCTCCTAAAGACTATGGGCTTGAACAAATGGATGCTTGAACAGATGAAAACAAGCCAGACTTACCGCAGAATACATAACAAGTTTCCTGTATTTTTCTGTCTGAGTTGCACTCTTCAGGTGCTTGAGGATCTCCTTGACCAGGACACCTTGAAGGAGGTAGATAAAACCAGGGAGCTGAACCAATCAGAAATATATATATTTGTCGATCGTGGGGTTTGAACTCTGGGCCTGGGCATTGTCTCTCAGCTCTTCAGCTTCAGGCAAGAGCACTCTACCACTTGAGCCATAGCACCACTTCTGGCTTTTTTTTTGTATATATGGTATATGCAGAATCAAACCCAGGGCTTCATGCATGCTAGGCAAACGCTCTACCAAGCCACCTTCCCAGCCCCCCTAGCATCAGTTTTAATAGCTATGTTGATTATATTTGGACTCAATTCCCATTTGGTGTCATGATCTGTCCTGTCAGCTGGCCTTGTAGGGCTCAGGCTCTAGCTGTAACCTGCCTGGTTCTGGACTCTTTATTCTATTCCACTTAGGCTGATTGTGAGGACTGAGCATCTTCCTGCCCGTATCTGCCAGTGTGATGAAAAGGTGTCACGTGCTACCACGTGTCCCAAGTGTGCTGGGTGCCAGCAGCCCATGCTTTTAATCCTAGCTACTCAGGAGCTGAGATCTGACAGTTCTTAGTTTGGAGGTAGCTTGAACAAGCGTATGCAGAGACTCTTATCTCGAATTAGCCAGCAAAAAGCCAGAAGTAAAGGTGTAGCTTGAGTGGTAGAGTGCCAGTCATGAGCAAAACAACAACAACAATCCAAAAGAATAGAAGGCCCTGAGGTCAAGCCTCAGGACTGGAACATACATGCGTGCACACAAAGAGGCCAAGTTAAAGGAGAACATCATCGATTAAAAATCGCCACACTGGGCTGGGAAGTGGCTCAGTGGTAGAGTGCTTGCCTTGCATTCCAGAGGCCCTGGGTTCGATTCCTCAGCACCACATAAGCAAAAAGAAAAAAAAAGCCGGAAGTAGTGCTGTGGCTCAAGTGGTAGAGCACTAGCCTTGAGCTGAAGAGCTAAGGGACAGAGCCCAGGCCCAGAGTTCAGGCCCCACAACCGGACCCAAAAAAAAAAATCTCCACACTGCCAGGCACCGGCGGCTCATGCCTGTCATCCTAGCTACTCAGGAGGCTGAGATCTGAGGATCGTGGTTCAAAGCTAGCTTGGGCAAGAAAGTCTGTCATCCTAGCTACTCAGGAGGCTGAGATCTGAGGATCGTGGTTCAAAGCTAGCTAGCTTGGGCAAGAAAGTCCCTGAGACTCTTATCTCTAATGAACTCCCAGAAAACCAGAAATGGTGCTGTAGCTCAAGTGGTAGAGTGTTAGCTTGAACTGAAGAGCTGAGGGACAGCTCCCAGGCCCAGAGTTCAAGCCCTACAACTGACCAAGAAAAAAAACAAAAAACTCAACACTAGTGGAAACATTTGTCATAAGCTTGCCAATTGAAATACATGCTAAATTGTGGTGCATAATTAACCTACAAAATATGTTCTGCTAGCTTGAATAATGACCACCAGCCAGGGTTTCAGGAAAGGAAACTACTTTGGTCAAACCAGCCACTTGGAAATTCACTCTGTAATCTTTCAGACACAGTGGCTTCATTTTCCTGGGGCTCGGACCCCTCGCCTGAATTCTAGGGTAGGCAGTGATGTTCATATGGAAGAGAAGGAAATGCTCACTCAGCTCTGAGCCAGCATGGGGAAGACCAAGGCCCAGAGGAGATAAAAGAATGATTATAGTAACACAGCAATGTTTGACTTGTGTGCTGTACTAGATGCTGCGTTCTTTAAGCCTCTTCTTTAGAATACACATATTGGCTGGGAAGGTGGCTCAGTGGTAGAGTGCTTGCCTTGCATGCACAGAAAAACCCTGAAGTGGTGCTGAGGCTCAAGAGGTAGAGTGCTAGCCTTGATCTAAAGAAGCTCAGGGACAGTCCCCAGGCCCTGAGTTCAAGCATGTCTTAGATTATTCACTAGGATTCAGAACCTGATCATCCAACCACAAAACCAAATACCACTCTCCTCATGTGCACACACACACACACACACACACACACACACACACACACACACACACACAAGCATGTCATACATTTATATTAGTCATGCATTTGTGACTCACACCTGTAATCCTAGCTACTTAGGAAGCTAAGATCTGGGGGAAATCACAGTTCCAACTCATCCTAGGCAGAAGAAAGTCAGCAGGACCCCCAAAATAGCCAAAGACCAAAGAATAGACTGGATGCATGGCTCAAGTGATAGAGCACCAGCTGAAAAAACAAGCTGAGCAAGCTTCAAATACTGGGTGTTGCCAAAAAGAAAAAGGAAATACTTACCTCCCTGGAGTCTCGATTTCTCCTTCTGCTTGTGAATTCCGTAGAGAGACAGGAGAGATAATTCTGATAATTCTTTCAGCTTAGTCATGGTATCCTCTGTGGCCCAGGAAGGTAACGTAAAATTGTGGACACCCTGCAGCAGAGGGGAAAAAAAGTGTGTGTGTATGTGTGTGTGTGTGTGTGTGTGTGTAAAAAGCACAACAAAAGAAATCAATGAAAGACTTGTGGGAAGATACCTCAAGAAACTGAGTAGAGTTCAGTGAGAGACTGTGAACTCTTAGCATGCTTCAGGCCCTAGGTTTAATACCTACGGCAAGCAAGACCAACAATCCCCAAGCCAAACTCTGCAGTCAGGAAGAAAGGGAATCTGAGCGCCAGTGGCTCATGCCTGTCATCCTAGTTACTCAAGGAGGCTGAGATCTGAGAATCGAGGTTCAAAGCCAGCCCGGGCAGAAATATCCATGAGACTCTTATCTCTAGTTAACCACCAAAAAAACAAAAACAAACAAACAAACAAAAAAACAGAAGCAGAGGTGTGTCTCACATAGTAAGAGTGCTAGCCTTGCAAAAAGGCTAAGGGATTATGTCCTGAATTCAAGCCACAACACAAAAGGGAAGGAAAAAAAATCCAAAGTGGGAACAAAGCAGCTGGGTGGTCAGAAACTTGCCCTAAGGATTTAGTGAATTGGCTGGGAAGAGCAGACTAGCAATGACTCCTTTAGCCAGGAGATGGAGTCTGTTGAATGGAAATTACCTTATAGTCGTAAGAGAAACAGCAGTCATTTATCCAACAGATCCTTTCAAATACGTCATGTCACACAGCACAGGTCTTTCCTGCTCTGACACGTCTGACGACTTGTCTTACAGTTGGCTGGTTTATTTCTATAGCTCTAGTTCTAGAAATTGGGTAATTTACTTCTCTGTATAATGTTATATAGCATTTGCTCTCTGCCTGTCTCTGTCTGCTTTTGTGTCTGCCTGTCTGTCTTTCTCTTTCATTAACATTTTCAGCCAGGCCCCACAGGCTCACATCTGTAATCCTAACTACTCAAGAGGTTGAGATTGGAAGATCAAGGTTCAAAACCAGGCCAGGCAGGAAAAGTCCATGAGACTTTGATCTCCCAATTAATCAGAAATAAAAAGGAAGTAGAGTTGTGGTTGAAGTGCTAGAGCATCAGCCTTCAGCACAAAAGTGCCTCTTCCTTAAATTCAAGCCCCAGTACTAGCACAATTAAACAAACAAACAAACAAACAAACAACCCTCATGATCAGGGCTCAACTCCCTTCCTTCCTTCTTTCCTTCCTTCCTTCTTTTCTTTTCTTTCTTTCTTTTTTGTTAATTGTGGGCCTGAACTCTGGGCCTGGGTGCTGTCCTTTAGCTCTTCAGCTCAAGGCTAGCACTCTACCACTAGAGCCACAGCCCCCACTTCTGGCTTTTTCTGCTTATGTAGTGCTGAGGAATTGAACCCAGGGCCTCATGCATGCAAGGCAAGCACACAGCATTTTCAATCTCTGCCAGATAATGAGTGACAATGTGTGGGGGAAAAGGGCAGCTTTTGTTTACCATTCTCTAAAAGGATGAAAATGTCAACAGTGGAGAAAAGTCAACATTTTCAAGATGAGAATTATAGTTCTCCATCCAAAGAAGTATAGGCAAATGGGCATGTATCATTACATCAGGTTGCAAATTAACCATGGTTTCCTTTCTTCTTTCTTTTCTTTTTTTTTTACCTCACAATATAAAGGGTCATAGACTTTGCTCCAAATCCCAAAGAGGTCTCGTCCGTGGAATCCTGACAGCGATGGCAAAGTTTCGATAAAGTCCTAACCAAAAAAAAAAAAAGACACTCATGACACCAGTTTCTGGTCTTTTCACATGTTTGGATTCATCCTAGAAATCTGCAGATAGTAACCTCAACAGGGCCCTGATGTCTCCTGTCTGGTAAGTATGGAGAAACAGCCGATAGACACTGACTTCCTATCCCTCTCTACCATGTGAGACACCCTACCAATTCCACCCCCCTTGCCCTTTTTTTGTGCATTGGTTAGTATCACATTTTGTCTTATGCCCAGGCCAGCCTGGGTTGTGAGTCTTCCCCATTGAACTTCTCCCCTCGCTGGGATAACAGGTAGGTAGGCCATTATGCCCAGACATTAGACGAGATGGAGTCTAGCCAACAGTGATCTCCCTCTCTACCTAGCTACAATTACAGGCTTCAGCCACCACCACACCTGGCTTGCGCTTGGATCATTCTTGGGTTGCTGAGACCCGTGCTTAGTTATCTGACTGATGAGATCAGCAGTGATTTCTGGGGTCTTTTGGAAGGATAGAATTTGTCTGCTGCATATATACATATACATATATTTTTCCCCCCAGAAAAGTAGTTGTGCTAGTTCTAACCTTGACAGGTTTCCATAAAATTCCTTGCTTTATAATAATGGTTAAAGACCCCCTTCCCCTCAAAAAACAAAAAAAAACAAAAAAAAAAAACCACAAGAGCTCTAGGGTGAGGTAACTTCCTGGAAGAATTGCACTAAACTTTTCAAGTGGATTTTTTATTTTCTGCTAGTCCTGGGGCTTGAACTCAGGGCCTGGGCACTGGCTCTGAGCTTCTTTTGGCTCAAGGTTAGCACACTACCACTTAAGCCATGGCACCACTTCTGGCTTTTTCTGTGTATGTAGTACTGAGGAATCGAACCCAGGGCTTCATGTAGGTGAGGCAAGCACTCTACCATTAAGCCACCTTCCCAGCCCTCCATGAGATTTTTTTGTTTGTTTGTTTGTTTGCTTTTTGTCAGAGGTGGGGCCTGAACTCTGGGCCTGGGCACTGTCCCTCAGCTCTTCAGCTCAATGCTAGCACCCTACCACATGAGCCACAGCGCCACCTCCGGCTTTTTCTGCTTATGTGGTGCTGAGGAATTGAACCCAGGGCCTTATGCGTGCAAGGCAAGCACTCTACCACTGAGCTACCTTCCCAGCCCATGAGATCTTTTTTTTTTTTTTAACTCTAATTAACCAGCAAAGCTTCCAAAGTAGAACCATGGCTCTAATGATAGAGTGCCAGCCTTGAGTGAAAAAACTTAAGAAACAAGGTCTAGGCCCTGAGTTCAAATTCCTGTACTGGCTCACAAAAAAAGAAAGAAGGAAGAAAGGGAGGGAGGGAAGGAAGGAAAGATGGAAGGAAGGAAAACAAAAATATATCTATTCTAGTTCAAAAGCCAACACATGTAATTGGGAGAGGAAACAAACAAACAAACAAACAAAAAACCCCAGGAAAATCAAAGACAAGGCAAGGAAGCCCAAAAGGGATACTGACATTGTAATCCTGCAACATTGTAACAAATGACATTGAAACGTCACAACATTGTAGCATCTCAACCATGTAGCATCACCACATTGTGACAGTGTAACATTGTTACAGCACCGGGTAGTGACAGCATGGTGCTATCTGTGCTGGCCAATGCAAATAGCATGCATGAGGCCCTGGGTTCGATTCCTCGGCACCACATAAGCAAAAAGCCGGAAGTGGCGCTGTGGCTCAAGTCGTAGAGCACTAGCCTTGAGCTGAAGGGCTGAGGGACAGCACCCAGGCCCAGAGTTCAGGCCCCACGAGTAGACCCCCCCCCCAAAAAAAATGAGGTGTGCAAATGTAAGAAAGCCAGAGGCATATCATTGTAAATATAGCCTAAACTCATTAAAAAAAAAAAGTAGATACATGACTAAAGTCCCAAGCTCATCTTTAAGATAATTACAAGAAAGCAGGTGCTGGTGGTTCATGCCTGTCATGCTAGCTACTCAGGAGGCTGAGATCTGAGGATCACAGTTCAAAGCCAGCCCAGGCAGGAAAGTCTGTGAGACACTTACCTCCAATAAACCACCAGAAAACTGGAAATGGCGCTGTGGCTCAAGTGGTAGAGCACTTGCCTTGAGCTGAAGAGCTGAGGGACAGCGCCCAGGTCCAGAGTTCAAGCCCCACAACCGACCCTCCCCTCCCAAAAAAAAGGTAATAGAAAGTAAGGAAAAATATACTGTTTTTTGGGGGGAGGGAGGAGTAAAACACACATAGAAAAGTAGTATTTCAAGTAGCCCTCTGTGATCTTGAGATCTCAGCCTGCCAAGTAGCTGGGATTACAGGCATGAACCACTGAAGCCTGGCTCAGGGTGCCCTTCCAAGAATCAAACATTCATCGTTTGCTTTGGCCCTCAGAGGCTAGCACCCCCACAAGATGATGCCACTTTTAACCTTGTATGGGTGAAGTCTTTTCTGGAATTCCTCCGATTTCAAAGTCTCACTCTCAAGTTCTTGGAAACGGGGGCAGTTCCTTAAGGGCAGGTAGAGCAGCTGAAAAACAGAAGAAGTCAGATCACCAAAGGCTTAGCTAGCCGGAGATGTTTGCCAAAGAAACGATGCCAAAATTTCAAACCTCATTAGGTCTAAAAGATCCAAATGTGCTTCGAGCTGCGTGGAAAGTTTAAAGTTGGAGGGAACAAGTTCAAATGGCCTGTGGGTCTTAAACTAGTGGATATATACCTTGACCTGTAGAACTTTTTTTTTAATTTTCCCAACTTTCATAAATGTGCCTAAATAGGAACACACTGTTGGTAGATACAGTTTCTGGTTTTTATAGGATTGTTTTTTTTTTCCCTCTTAAAAACATTTTTTTTTTTTTTTGGTTGGTCGTGGGGCTTGAACTCAGGGCCTGGGCACTGTCCCTGAGCTTTTCAGCTCAAGGTGAGTGCTCTACCACTTGAGCCACAGCACCACTTCTAGTTTTCTAGTAGTTTATTGGAGCTAAGAATCTCACGGACTTTCCTGTCCTGGCTGGCTTTGAACCGAGATCCTCAGATCTCAGCCTCCTGAGCAGCTAGGATGACAGGCGTGAGCCACCGGCACCTGGCTAATAAAACAAAATTTAAAGCAACACTACCCAGGCGCATGTGGAGATTGGTACAGCCACAGGTCCTGAGCAGACAGACAGTCTTCCTTCTCCCCGGGAATCTTCCCTCCTCCTCCCAACCCATGGCATCTCCCAGAATATACCAACCCGATCTTCAGACAGAGACACGGTATGCACGGGGATAGGCTGCCAGAGGAGGGTGGGATTCCAGATGCTGGTTCCCTCCGGAGGAAACAGGGCTGCGAGGTTTGTCATGGCACTCATCAGAGTCCGGTCCACATCTGTGCTTCGAATATACACCTAGCATGTGGGGGGAAAAAAATGAAAGCAGAAGCCTCGTTAGTAGAATTCCAGGTTTTCTTTCTGTCGTGTATGGGAGAGAAAGAGCTGAGTATCTGCATCGAAATATATAAGCAGACTCGGTGTAGCATGGTCATCGTAACCAATCATGATATATATCATATTATGATCCTATCATAGGACAGGGCAGCCTGGTAGGCCAATATGGATTGACAAAATGGCACTGACAATGAAGTGGCTACTTGCCAAGCCGAAGTATCTACACAGGCATCCATAGAGATTTGAAGTTATATTCCTACAGATGTTTAAGAGGGAGGGGCTGGGAAGGTGGCTCAGTGGTATAGTGCTTGCCTTGCATGCATGAGGTCCTTAGCACCACATAAGCAGAAAAAGCTGGAAGTGGCACTGTGGCTCAAGTGGTAGAGTGCTTGCCTTGAGCTGAAGAGCTGAGGAACAGCGCCCAGGCCCTGAGTTCAAGTCCCATAACTGACAAAAAAAATTTAAGAGGGAAAAAAAACCCTAATCCTATAAACAAAAATCTATAAACAATCTTATAAACGATCTCATGTGTAAATGAAAGCTTTGACTTATACAAGTTCCCCCTCCCTTTCCAAAACAAAAAAAACAGGAAAACCTTTTTCCCCCCCACATATTATTTTCATTATTTTAAGAGTGGACTCCCTCAACTTGCCTGTTCACGATTATAGGACTCATTCAAGAGCTTTCTGTATCTTTTCTTTATATACTGGCCAAGTTCATAATGCTGCTCCATGCCAAGCTATAAGGGGGAGGAGGGAAAAACACAACAAAATAAAAATAAAAGCAACAACATACATTTCTGACGCACTGTGTACAGGACAGAGCCCAGGAATCTGCATTCCTGACAGCTGTGAAGTCATGCTGCTAACCAGTGAGCACGTGTGGAGATTTGGGTGCTGGAGAGATTTCCCCCACTCATCATTACCATGATTTGAAAGCACCCAGCCAGGTGCTTGTGGTTCACACCTGTCATCCTAGCTACTCAGGAGGCTGAGATCTGAGGATCACAATTTAAAGCCAGCCCAGGGAAGGAAAGTCCATAAGACTCTGATCTCCAATGAACCACCAGAAAACTGGAAGTGGTGCTGTGGCTCAAGTGGTAGAGTGCTTGCCTTAAGCTGAAGAGCTGAGGGACAGTGCCCAGGCCCACAACAGACAAAAAAAAAAAAAAAAGAAAAAGAAAAAGAAAACACCCAGGCTGAGGATAGGAATTTGACCTCCAGATACCTGTTACTGTCTCTAGGGCAGGGTATGCTATATACACCTGTAATTCTAGCTACTGAAGGGGACCGAGAGCTGAAGGGTCACAGTTTTGGCCAGCTGCCCAGGCCAAAACAAAGACAAAAAGCCAAAAAAAGTTAGCAAGCTTCTGTGCCAACAAACATCCCGGGTGGTGATACACACCTGTAATGGCAGTACAGCTAGAGTCAGAGGTTCAGAGGCTTGCCTATCTGGGGCCTATCCTGGAGAAAAAGTAGAAGATCTATATATAGGAAAATAGCTAGAGAAAAAAAAAAAAGTGGGGGGGGGGGGCTTGGGGTATGGCTCTAATGGTAGAGTACCTTCCTAGGAAGTATGGGAACCTGAGTTCAAACTCCAGTACTACCACACATACACACACACACACACACACACACACACACACACACACACACAAGTGGTCCACATACTGGTACCATTGTCATTGTCTGGAAGTGTGCTAAATATACAGAATCTCAGCTTACCACAAATCAGCCTTGTGCCTTAGAATCTGCTCTGTGTGTGTGTGTGTGTGTGTGTGTGTGTGTGTGTGTGTGTGTGTGTGTGTGTGTACCAGTTATGGGGAACTCAAACTCAGGGCATGGATGCTGTCTCTTAGCTTTTTTTTTTCTTTTTGGTCCAGTGATAAGGCCTGAACTCTAGGCCTGGGCACTGTCCTTCAGCTCTTCAGCTCAAGGCTAGCGCTCTACCACTTGAGCCACAGCGCCACTTCTGGCTTTTCTTTTTCTACTTATGTGGTGCTGAGGAATCGAACCCAGGGCCTCATGCATGCAAGACAAGCGCTCTACCACTGAGCCACCTTCCCAGCCCCTTTTTTTTTTTTTTTGCTCAAGGCTGTGGTGCTCTATCACTTGAACCACAGCTCCACTTCTGGCTCCCTGGTGATGGATTGGAGATGAGTCTCATGGATGTCCCCACCCTGGTTGGCTTTCAAACCCGCGATCCTCAGATGTTGGCCTCCTGATTTCTTGGCACCCCAGCTCCCATGCCTGGCCCCAATCTATATTTGAGTGAGACACCCAAGTGATATGTTTGCATGTGGGAGCTTGAGAAACAAGTACATTATGGGAATCTTGTGGTTAGTCTAAAGTTTCCCGGAAGAGCCCCAGCTCCCATACGCTGGAAGAAACTTTGGGTATCACTGGATAAAGCACAAGCCAGGGGAAACTGGGACCACAGATCCTAGGAAGGATACATGGGGATTGAACTCTGGGCCTGGGCGCTGTCCCTCAGCTCTTCAGCTCAAGGCAAGCGCTCTACCACTTGAGCCATCACACCACTTCTGGTTTTCTGAGTGGTTCCTTGGAGATAAAGAGTCTCACGGACTTTTCCTGTCTGGGCTGGATTTGAACCACGATCCTCAGATCGCAGCCTCCTTGAGTAACTAGGATGAGCCACCAACACCCAGCCCCATCTCTTCTTTAAAGAGCTAGAAGATGGTAGGCTATGAAGGGACAGAGGTGGCCCTCGAATACATCCCTTGGCTCTTCTCCATGAGGGCTAAGGGTCCATTTAAAGACAGTGCTCTCCAGCCTTTGGCTGCACGGAGAATGAACTGACCAACCGAGAAGCTTCCACATACCCCTTCGCATCTGGGGCTGAAAACTCCAACCAACCAACCAACCAACCAACCTGGGTGAGCTGGCCAAATCCTTGTGGCCAAGAGGACTCCATAATCGGGTCATTGGGAAATGTTTCAATGGGACTTCGGTCTCCATGCCGAAACACCTAAAGGGGGAAAAATATATGTGTCTCTCTATATGTGTATACACACATATGTGTATGCATGTATGTATATACACACATATATGTGTGTATGTATCTATACATAGATACATACACACACACACACACACAACACACACACACACAAACCCCATTGTAGAGGGTTTTTTTCTTTTGGTCGGTTATGGGTCTTGAACTCTGAGTCTGGGCGCTGTCCCTGAGCTCTTCAGCTCAAGGTAAGCACTCTACCACTTGAGCCACAGCACCACTTCTGGTTTTCTGGTGGTTTATTGGAGATCAGAGTCTCACACTTTCCTGGCCCGGTCTGGCTTTGAACCGTGATCCTCAGATCTCAGCCTCCTGAGTAGCTAGGATGATAGGCGTGACCCACCTGTGCCCGGACTCATTCAGTCATCTTTATCAAGTCTATCAAATGTGTACAAACTGGCACACCTCCCCCTCCTCCCCAAGAGAGATGGTTTATTTGTGTTTCTATGGGCTATCCCATCCAAAGAGCTCACAACATGTCTCAACGCCTCCCAGAGAAACACGTCAAACCGACTGGATCGTAGCCGAGTACAATTACATCTAAATACAGGTCAGAGAGAGAAAGTATATCCAAGTCCTCATGATGATATTCTGGGGCTCTGCTCTTTTATCACTTACTCAGCTAAGGAGGCCACGTTTGCTCTTGATCTTGAGCTATTTGGCCATTTAGATGCATTACTTCTTTGATTTTTTACATACAGAATGTAGCCGGGCACTGATGACTTAATGTCTGTCATTCTAACTACTCAAGAGGCTGAAATCTGAAAGATCCCAGTTGGAGGCCAACCTAGCCAGAAACATTTATGCCATTCCCCCCCCCCCCCAAATTATCAAGCCGGGTGCCAGTGGCTCACGCCTGTCATCCTAGCTACTCAGTAGGCTGAGATATGAGGTTCACAGTTCAAAGCCAACCTGGGGAGGAAAGTCCATGAGATTCTTCACTCCAGTAAACCACCAACCAGAAAAGCGGAAGTGGTGCTGTGGCTCGCCTTGAGCTGAAGAGGGGCCGCGCCCAGACCCAGAGTTCAAGCCCCACAACTGACCAATAATAATAATAGTCATCATCATCAAAAGGCAAGTTTGGGAGTATGGCTCAAGTGGTAGAGTAACATCTGAGCAAGTGTGGAGCTCTGAGTTCAAACCCCAGTACTATTGTTTTAGTGTGTGTGTGTGTGTGTGTGTGTGTGTGTGTGTTTAACTGTTGGCATGCTTCTATCTAACCTGTAGTCGACTCTCCTACTGACACTTTATGTGCACAGGAAAATGAAAAAAAAAAAAAAAAAAAGCCACTTAGTAGAATTACTGCCTTTCCAGGATAAGGCAAATGTTTGTCTGAGTCGGGGAATGTCTAAGTCATTCTCCCAGGGTGACCTAGTGACTGGCTATTTGTCAAAGCAGGAATTTGAAATGTGACCTGAAAACTGGAAAGCCCGCCACGCCTTTGCTGCCTGTGTGTGTGCGTTGCAGAGCATTTCCATTTCCTACAGGCCTCTTCTTCCTCCTGGGCCCTGGATAAAGGTTTATTAATCTTGAGGAGTGCAAGATGTGTCTTTACACTGATTCCTTTCACAGCAGGCTACTCCTTGGGAGTAGAATTCATCTACATAGACACCACTTATCATTTCAGCCCAAACTTCTTCTTCTTCCTCCTTCTCCTCCTCCTTGGTGCTCTACCACTGGAGATATGCCTCCAGCCCAGCTTTCTGATGGTTTGACTTTGAACTGTCATCCTCCAGATCTCTGGAATAACTGGGACTACACCTGTGCCAGGCCGGAAGCTCTTGATATGCCGTTATCACAATTACATCTTGAGTCTCTGGTCCACTAAAGGTAAGCTTCAGCTTTTATTTATTTTTTTTAACTCATATGCAATACTGAGCTTATATTAGCTTAGTATGCCTTGAGGGAGGCTTGGGAAACTCAAAAAAGAAGAAAAAAATTAAGTGCCTGGCATCTGGTGGTTGTTCATAACCTGTTAGCTATCGTTGCAATGCTACTTTAATAGAAGTGAAAGAAACAAAGATTTTGTAGGTCTTAAGAAGTTTTGTGCCTGTAGATAAATGTTGTTCAAATCTGAACAATGAAAATAAAAGCAGAGCTGGAAAGGTGGGCTCAGTGGTTGAGCGCTTGCCTTGCATGCCGGAGGCCCTGGGTTCGATTCCTCAGCACCACATAAGCAAAAAGAAAAAAACCGGAAGTGACGCTGTGGCTCAAGTGGTAGAGCGCTAGCCTTGAGCTGAAGAGCTGAGGGATAGCCATGACCAGACTCAAAAAAAAAAAAAACAACAACAAAAGCAAACAAAAGGGCAGTAGCTTCTTCCAGACAAAAGTCTTAAAGGAAGTCAATGGAGTGGTAAGTCAAGGAAAATCTGAACATACTGTGTGACTCTCAGAAACACATTAGAGAGAGAAAGAGAGAGAGAGAGAGAGCGCGCGCACACATGTGCCAGTCTTGGGCCTTGAACTCTGGGCCTGGGCGCTGTCCCTCAGCTCTTCAGCTCAAGGTGAGCGCTCTACCACTTGAGCCACAGCACCACTTCTGGTTTTCTGGTGGTTCATTTGGAGCTAAGAGTCTCATAGACTTTTCCTGCCCCAGGCTGGCTTTGAACTGTGATCCTCAGATCTCAGCCTCCTGAGTAGCTAGGATGACAAGTGTGGGCTACTGGCACCCAGCTCTAGAATCACATTTTTGATCATGTATTTGATCAGGCCAGAGACTCAAAGCTGAGAATAAAACTGATGAAACTTTTTAAAAGACATACTTTATCTTTTTGAGAATAATTAGAAAAATGCTTGGCATCTTAATGAACTGCTTATGTGAACATTGTTAAGACCCATGCAGAGAAATTGTGTGTACATGCAACATTAATAATAGCTAACAACCATTGAGGCATTTACCAAATAGGCTTATTAAAACTTTTACGTATCAACTGAAGCCTTACAACGAGTCCTTGAGGTGCTATTATCCCCATTTTGCTGATGAAGATATTGGGGGCACAGAAAGGGCTAAATTACCTAAAATCACACAGCTCATGAGGGATTGAGCTGGCATTCAAGCTCATGTGGTCTGATTCTTGTGTTTGTACTCTTTTTTTTGTTGTTGGTGGTGGTGGTCATGGGTCTTGAACGAACGTTCTTCAGCTCAAGGCCAGCGCTCTACCACTTGAGCCACAACGCCAATTCTGGTTTTCTAAGTGGTTCATTGCAGATGAGTCTCATAGACATTCCTGCCCCCGGGCTGGCTTTGAACCGCGATCCTCAGATCTCAGCCTCCTGAGTAGCTAGTAATACAAATGTGAGCCCCCAGTGCCCAACTTAAACACTAGCACTTTCATTCTGGCTTTCCTGATAATTTTCTTTCTTTCTTTCTTTTTTTTTTTTTTTGGGGGGGGGTCCAGTTGTGGGGCCTGAACTCTGGGCCTGGGCGCTGTCCCTCAGCTCTTCAGCTCAAGGCTAGCGCTCTACCTCTTGAGCCATAGCGCTACTTCTGGCTTTTTTCTTTTTGCTTATGTGGTGCTGAGGAATCGAACCCAGGGCCTCAGGCATGCAAGGCAAGCCACCTTCCCAGCCCTTTCATGATAATTTTCTAAGGATGATCCAGAGTATACAGCTTAATCATTTGTAGTTACATAGTCTCTATAACCAATAAAAAGAAGAGAGTGATTTTTTTTTTGGCTTAAGTCAATAGGGCAAAGTTGTTTTGTTAAGGGTTAATTTTCCCTTTATTTACCATTAAAGGGAACAAGCCATGATAGGAATCAGCTTACATTCCCTTCATGTAATATTTGTTTGCTTGTTTGTTTTTAGTTCCAGGAGAGTGCTATCTTGGTATATGGGTTTACCTGAGGGAAGTATTAACTTGTAGTCTCCATTTGAGAGTTAATTGGTATAGCCACACATTTGGGGCTCACGTCTGTAATCCGATCTACTTGGGAGGCTGAGGTCTGAGGATTCAGGGTCAAACCAGCATAGGCCAAAAACCCCATGAGACTCTTACCTCCAGTGAATCACCAAAAGCTGGAAGTGGAGCTGTGGCTCAAGTGGTAAGAGTGCTAAAAGCTCAGAGAAAAACAACAATTCAGTCTCTTGAGTTCAAACTCCCCGACCAGCACACACAACAACACAAAGAACGAACTGGTAGTTTCCTTTTAACAGAGTACAGTTCTCTGGGTTTTTGACTCTAGTGTTGTTGACGCCTGACTTGGTCAAGATATACTAGGCCAAGAACCGTGATTTACATAAACATATGGTTATCATCTGTTTTGTAGACAGTAGAGACGGAAGCCCTGAATACACGGTACTTAGAGAAGACTCCATGTTTAAGTTTCATATCTAAACTAAAATAATAATAATAACAACCTTCCTCCAAACTATAAAAATAGTTTGGGTATTCGTACAGAAAGAAAACGTATCAGTCCATTTTTGCCAGATCGGGTTATCTATGTATAAATGCAAGAAAGCAAGAGAAAGAAAAGAGGAGCAGAGAGAGAAGGAAACAGGGGAATAAAATAAGACACAGACAAACTGTCCTGTAGGCAGAAATGAACACGTAGCATTTTGCCTACCCACGAAGTTGATAAAACTGCAAAAGAAAAACAACAACAACAACAAAATAAGACACAGAAACAACGTAGGGGAAAAAAACCTGCATTTTAGGATCCACTAGATCTATACTTCAGGAAATTGTTCTAAAACCCTGGAGATTAATTTCTCTTTGATGTTACAAAGACTGTTTACCCAGTAGGTGTTCCTATTTTCAGACCAATGTAAGCAGAAGGAGCTATTTAATTTAAAAAAAGAGAGAGAGAAAGAGAGACACAGTTTTCTTGGTTTGCAAACAAATAATCATTAAATGCTACGAAACCAGGTTATCTCTTACTATATAAACAGCACCTGCTGTGGCCGGTGTCGTGTGTGGACTGGTTGGACCGAAGGTGTGACTGGTCAGAAAGGAATCAGAGTTCGAGAGTCCTAAAGCCAATAACCAACAATGTAGGCAAAAAGCAAATGGAGAAGAAGAAAAAAAAATCAGCACAACTTTTTTTTTTTTTCTGGTCAAGACATGTTCTGTCTTCATGAAGAGGAACTTGTGAAACTTGATTATTCACGGAGTGGTCTGAAGCTGGCTCTATCCGAGATGACACAGGGAGGGAAAAGAAAACAATGACTCTGCTGGGTACCAGGGTTTCTGAAGGAAAAGCCAGGAGAAAAGTGTACTCACCAGCGTTGCACACTTCAGCTCTTTGCCTACAGCACCTGAGTGTAGCCAGAGAGAGAGCAGAAGAAGCAGAAAGCCGGGGTGCTGGGCTGTCGGGGTCCTGCCCGGGAAGGTAGATCTCATGTTGGGGGGGTGGAAAAAAAAAACAACCAACCAACCTGTTGATGGCAGGAGTCAAGAGAGTACAGCTTGGGAACTCACTGGGAAGAGAAGCTATTTAATCAAGGGATTGACAGATAGGGGGAGGAGCCACCTTCATAAACAGTAAAGAAAAAAAAATTTCAGGAAGTTGGAGGTAGGGCTTGACATGCAAATCGCGTCCAAATATTTCTGAATTCAAGGGTGTCCCAATCTCCCACAGAGGCCTCCCTGCGGGGGTTAGGGGGGGAGGAGGTCAGGCCAGGCTGTGAACTGAAGGCTCACCTTCAGAGAGCCTGTGTTTCTTTGATGTTCAGTGTATCTTGCAACTTTTTTTTTCTTTTTTCTTTTTTTTTTTGGGGGGGGGGGAATGTTGTGATACTGTGTTGGATGTGTGTGGGGGGTCACTTAAGAAAAGAAATACTAGCTAGCCTGGCTTTAGAAGGTTTAGGCCAGTAATACATAAAAAAATAAAATTTAGTTATATATTATATATTTATGATTATACATATTAATGTAGTAGTTGTATTAATTAATATACTTATACTATAAATAATACATAATATGAACAAGCAAATATCATTATATACTATATCATAATATACTATAATATACTATATAATATACTATAAATAATATAATCAATTAATATAACATATATGTAATATAATATACTATATATAATAACATATAGTGATAATATATAATATTGTTATATATTATAACATATTAATGATATATACTAATATATACTATATATTACTATATAATTATATAATATATTATATAATATATACTATATATTGATCCTACAACTGTAAGCAAGAAAAGTCTGGAAGTCACGATGGCCTCTTTTCCTACCATACATGGTATTTGGACTTTGTAAGCTCTCACATAGCCAATAGAAGTGGTTTGTTTGTTTGTTTTTGGTTTTGTTTTGTTTTGGGGGTTTTTTTTGGATCCGGTCTGGGTCTGGGCACTGTCCCTCAGCTCTTCAGCTCAAAGTTAGCACTCTACCACCTGAGCCACAGCGCCACTTCCGGCTTTTTTCTTTTTGCTTATGTGGTGCTGAGGAATCGAAACCAGGGCCTCGAGCATGCAAGGCAAGCGCTCTACCACTGAGCCACCTTTCCAGCCCCTGTTTTTGTTTTTGTTTTTGTTTTTTTGGGTCCGGTCGTGGGGCCTGAACTCTGAGCCTGGGCGCTGTCCCTCAGCTCTTCAGCTCAAGGCTAGCGCTCTACCACTTGAGCCACAGCACCACTTCCGGCTTTTTTTCTTTTTGCTTATGTGGTGCTGAGGAATCGAACCCAGGGCCTCATGCATGCAAGGCAAGCACTCTACCACTGAGCCACCTTCCCAGTCCTGGTTTTGTTTTTAAATGAACAAAAACACCATCTGTAGTGGCTCACACCTGTCCTCCTGGCTACTCAGGAAGCTGAGATCTGAGGATGGCAGTTCAAAGCCAGCCTGGGATGAAAAGCCCATGAAATTCTTTATTTTAATTTTTGCCAGTCTAGGGGCTTGAACTCAGGGTCTGGGCACTGTCCCTGAGCTGCTCTGTGCTCAAGGCTAGCACCCTACCACTTGAGCCACAGTGCCACTTCCGGCTTTTTCTGTGTATGTGGGACTGAGGAATCGACTCCACGGCTTCATGTGTGCTAGGCGAGCACTCTAACACTGAGCCATGTTCTCAGCCCCAATTAACAGACAAAAATGCTGGAAGGAGAGCTGTGTGGCCTCAAATGTCAAAAGCCAGGCAAGCATGCAAGGCCCTAAGTTCAAAACCCCCCAGTACCAACACACACACACACACACACACACACACACACACACACACCCCAACCCCAAAAGACCAAGCCCAAACCAACCTTAAAAAAAAGTAAGTCTGTTGACAAGTTTTATTTTAAGTCACCCCTGAAGACATTTGGGGAACCCTTGCAGCATCTCAACATCAAGTTTGAAGTTCCATTCCAGACCTGACATTGTTTCAACACACAAGCCTAGTCACCTGGTTGGACCCATCAGCCTTTCATTCGGGGTGAGCTGCGCCCCTGCCTCTCACGAGGGGTGAGGGTGGGGCGTGGATGAAGACCATCTGGGAGAAGTTCTAGCTTTCCATCCATCCCCTTCCTGGCAGTCCCATCCCATAGGCTAAGATGACACGGATTCTTGGGAGTCTGTAGGAGTGGGAGGAGGAAAAGCCGTCTGTTCTGACGTCCCCACCTGCAACGTGGAGGAGGAACAGTGGGTTTTTCCCACACGGCGTGTAGGGAGGGTGATGACACACACCCATCCCCACATCCTCCCATTGTTGTGTGGTCATGGAATGCCCTGGAATGTAGTGTGTGGGAGACCCGTGGTGCTTTTGGCATGGAGAAATTAGCGTGAAGAATTAGTGGCGTGTGTGTGTGTGTGTGTGTGTGTGTGTGTGTGTGTGTTAGGGTTAGATACTTGAGGGACCTTGCAAGAGCTTTTCTTGGCTATCTCATTAGTTACCTGCCAATCCCCTCCCTCCCTCCTTTCCTCCTTCCCTCCTTCTTTCCTTCCTTCCCTCCCTTCTTTCTTCCCCCCTTCTCCCTCCGTCTCTTTCCCCTGTCTCTATCTCTTTGTTTCTCTCATCTCTCTCTCTCCTTTCTCTGTCTTTCCTTGTCTCTTTCTCTCATCTTCTCTGTCTGCCTGTTCTTTCCTTCTGACAGGCTCTTACCCATGTAACCCAAACTGCCTTCAAACTCTCAATCTTTGAATCTCAGACTCCCCAAGTGCTGGGATTACAGGCATATGCCCCCCACACCTGGCCTCATTGTCTTATTTTTGATGAGTTTTTTTTTTTTTTTTTTGTCGGTTGTGGGGCTTGAACTCGGCTCTTCAGCTCAAGGCGAGTGCTCTACCACTTGAGCCACAGTGCCACTTCCAGCTTTTTTCTGCTTCTGTGGTGCTGAGGAATTGAACCCAGGGCCTCATGCATGCGAGGCAAGCGCTCTACCACTGAGCCACCTTCCCAGCCCCTTGATTAAACGTTTATTTCAACCTCACAATTAGCTTTTGCTCTAGATCGGCTCTCCTGATAACAAGGCGTTGAGGAAATACTCTGCCCTTCTATTCAAAGCTGTTCTGTCTAAGTTTATCCATTCATCTATTAGGCACTGAGAGTTCAACAACACAGTTGTGAAACCACGGAATCTAGACAGGTTAGACACAGCCTTCAATCCAGTTAGGAGCCCTGACCTCCTGTCAAAGTTGCGTGCGGCACTTTTGTATGCTCTGTTCTACCTCCTCCTCCTCCTCCTCCTCCTCCTCCTCCTCCTCCTCCTCCTCCTCCTCCTCCTCCTCCTCCTCCTCCAAGGGTGGTGCTCTACCACTTGAGCCCTAGCTCTGCTTTTTTTGGGTAGTTAATTGAAGGTATGATTCATTCCAACTTTCCCGTCCAGGCTGGCTTTGAACTACAACCCTCGGATCTCAGCCTCCTGAGTAGCTAGGATGACAGGTATGAGTTACCAGCATCCAGCTATCCATATGTTTTTGTGTTGTTGTTGTTGTTTTAATTCCCATTGACTCTTAATTCTTTGAGCAGATTTTATGAGTTCTAAGCTCAAGAAAAGAGCATGCAGGACTGTGTTTTATCTGAGAATCTTTCAGACTCAATATTATGGCTTTTCAAAACTCGTGTGTAAAATTTTTATTCTTTTCCCCCTTATAACTTAATGACCAAAGGAGAAGCAGAGTGGTGACAAACAGGAGTGTACATCATTCACTTAGTTAACTGAAATTGAGTGGGAATCAAGATGTACTTAATTGAAGAAGACTTTTTGGTTATCTCTCCATGAAAGAACTATTATTATTTCTTTTCTTACTTTGTTACTGGTCACACTCTACTTATTCACATTAAAAAAAAAAAAAGCCCGAAACCAGGAGCTGGTGGCTCACGCCTGTCATCCTAAGTACTCAGGAGGCTGAGATCTGAGGATTGTGGTTCAAAGCCAACCCCGGGCAAGAGAGTCTGCGAGACTCTTAATCTCCAATGAACCACCAAAAAGCTGGAAATGAGTGTGGCTCAAGTGGTAGAACATCTTGAGCAAAAAAAAAAATGTTCAAGGACAGCACCCAAGCCCTTAATTCAAATCCCAGGATTGGCACACACACACACACACACACACACACACACACACACACACACACACACACATCCTGAATAAATTTAAAAAAAAAAACAACTTCTATGAATGTTAACAGATGGAAATAATAATTGAAACAGTTTGGAAGTCACAAATATATATATATTTGTATATATATAAAACAACTTAAGAGTATTCATCTATTTCTCTAAAACAAATCAAAGCAAACAATGGCTGAAGAGACGGCAAGTTTATCATCACATTTTTTTCCTTGTGTCAGGAGTCTGGGTATCGGTTAAAATGAGTCTCTACTCAAGCTCTTTGTTCAAGGCTATAATTAAGTGTCAGCCAGGCCCCGGGACATTTCCTCATTCGTGTGGATGTTGGCAGGATTGAGAGTTTCTTTGCAAGCTGCTGCATGGAGTTCTTGAATTGTTGGGTGAGATCAGATCAGTAGGCTGTCTGTCCTCAGGCCCCTGGCTCTTTGTATCAGGACAATATGGTGACATCTTGGTTGGTCACAGATTGCAAGCAGAGGAGGAGCTAGAGAATCCTCAAACACCGTCTTTCTTTTTTCTTTTTTTTTATTTTGGGGGGGGGGGGTCTGGTCGTGGGGCCTGAACTCTGGGCCTGGGCCTGTCCTTCAGCTCTTCAGCTCCAGGCACTGTGGCTCAAGTGGTAGAGCGCTAGCCTTGAGCTGAAGAGCTGAGGGACAGCGCCCAGGCCCAGAGTTCTGGCCCCATGACCGGGCCTCCCCCACCCCAAAAAAAGGAGTCTTTTGGCTTTGTATCTCTGGGCTGGTTTCGAACCTCAATCCTCAGATCTCAAGTCTCCTGAGTAGCTAGGATTACAGGCATGACCTACAGACAGACA